GGTGAAGCCCTCAGGACACTCCGCGTGGCTTGGGCAGGTGACCGGATGAGGGACAACGTGGTGAAGTGCCTGTGCCCGACCCTCCCCTGCAGCCCACAGCAACCGTTCCCTCCTCAGCAGCCCCCGCCTGGCCGCTCTGGGCACCCCTGTTCCCTGTTCCCCAGGCCCTGGGCCCTCCTGATCTGTCTCCTCGACCCCCGGCCCGGGTCTGGCTCAGTCTGTCCACACTCTGGAATCTGGTGGGACTGGGTATGGAGGGTCTGGAGTGTCAGCAGGCCACCTGCGTCCCAGCTGGTGGGTGAGAAGGGTCCCACAGGTCAGCATGGAGGGACAGTGACCCTGTCTCTTCCGCTGGAAACCAGGCAAGCTCCCCCAGGGCCCCTGCAGGGCCCCCAGCACACGCTGCCCTGGAGCATGGGGGAAGAGGCCGGGATCCTTCATTACCTGAACCCCATTTCCACACGTCACAAAACAGGATTTCCAAAATTAGAATTTATTTCAGTTTCTAAGGAATGAATCCCCGAGTGTGGCAGGAAGGACACGGCCAGCTCCTGATGCACACCTGATTTGACTCAACACTGAGTCGGGACAGACACAACCAGAGGTGACCTGGGTCCAGGCTGGGGCTGCACAGGCCGTGTCCTGGACAGCCAGGAGGGAGGCCCCGCACACAGACGGCCGCCGGGCAGGGGGCCTGAGCGGGGCAGGCCCGGCCATAGCCCATGTCCTTGGCCTTCCACATAGGTGCACACATTCTCTGCCCACAGAGGGCCAGACACCCTGGGCACCCCCTCACTCCGGGGGCTCAGGACACAGGCTTCCAGGTGAGGCTGCGCCTGGAGCCAGAGCTGATGTTTGGCTGCACACAAGCCCACTAGGGACAGACCCCAGAACACAAATTCTGTCCCCCTGGATTTAAGGCTGGTATTTTTTGACATTTACTTCAGTTTTTCTCTTTGAAATTAAAATTACCTGAGTAAAAGATTTTGAGACATTAAAAAAGCCAAAAACACAGAATCCCTGCAGGCAGACGGCGCCGGGGAGGTGGCCGGGGCCAGGATGCCGGGGGCATGGCAGGGTTGGCTGGAGCTCAAGGGCCGGGCCTTTGTCCCAGTCTCGCCTGCCCTGGAGCCCCCAGGAGCCGCCCCTCGGCCGAAGCTCCCATGGCTGGAGCACAGGAAGGCACAGTGAGGTAGGGACAGTGGCCATTGTCCCCCGCCCGCCACCAGGGCTCAGAGGGCAGCGCACACCTCGGCTCTTCCAAGTCCCTGCCTCCTCGGAGCTGGGCGTCTTATCCAGAGGCCGGTGAACAGCCCCTGCAGTATGGGAGGGGAGGGGCTGCCGGGAGGCCTGAGCTCAGACAGTTAAATAATCCTTTATTTGGGTGGGCTGGGGGAGGGGTGACTGGACCAGGAGGGCAGGCGAGGCCGGGCCCAGACCCCCATGGGGGGTGGCAGGGGCCTCCGGCAGGCTAGGATGCGCCTGGCACCCAGGAAGTGCCGCGGGGGCACTGGCTCCTCAGGGGCCCGAGCGGGCGGGGAGCAGTCTCCTACTTGTGCCGGGCCTCGGTCACCCTCTGCAGGCAGTACTGCGCGGCGGGCAGCGACAGGACCAGGCTCGCAGTGCGGCGGCCCATCCAGTACAGGCTGTAGCCCAGCAGACCGAAGAAGGCGGCCTTCACGGCCAACCGAGACACTCTGCCGGAGACGGA